CGGCGGCGGCGACGTGCGCGCCGGCGGCTCCGTCTCCAAGTGCGCCGACGCCGGCTACTTCCGGCGCAGGGAGGTGTGCGGCGAGTACGAACGCTGCGTGCGCTGGCCGGGCGCCACCAACGGACTGCGCTTCTTCTACGAGTGCCCCAGTGGCATGCTGTTCGACGACAGGTGGTGGCGGCCGGGGCGGGACGGGGCGCGCGCGGGGGTCTGTAGCTGGCCTCATCCACGGTCGCCGGTCCCTCTGCAGAGTGTGCAGTCAACAACGCATGCGTTTGTTGCGGTTTGTTTAATGCTACGGCGCGTTGACTTCAGTGGTCATTTTTCGCTCATAATGAGCAACAATGCATCGGACTATCGAAGTAGCAAACTTGGCGATGCACTCATCCTCGTTACATGCCGTTCTCTCGTTGGCGTAGCGATGTGCAGAGGTTTGCGCATCTTTTGACGTCAGCTGCGATGACACTGACCCCAGTATGCAGCTGTACGCCTACACATCGTCTTGTTTAATGATAAAATGTACCATGTAGCTCCGATTCGTGTGGGCCAAAGCCGCGCCGCTTTCGTCTCCATGAGCTCCATCGCAGGGCACATCGGGACCCCTGAGGTGCTTATCGATGCCGCTGTCTGCTCGGCCAGGTGGGAGATCTGCACGTGGGCGTCTGCCACCGAGCCGTGCGAGAACTCCAACACCGAGGTGCCGCCAGTGGAGCATCACGATGTGCCGTGCGAGGCCGACGGCTACTTCGCCGACCCCAGCAACTGCAAGTACTTCCAACTCTGCCGCGACTACTACAACAACGGCACCTTCACCAAGTTTGAGTTCAAGTGTCCGTACGGTCTGGGCTACGACGACGTCGAGCTCACGTGCACGTGGGCGTGGTTGGTGCCGCGCTGCGGGGCGTCGTCCACCATGAAGACGCCGTTCTCGCAGGACGAGCTGACCACCATGGCCTCTGGGCTACGTTCGAGCTCGGCCGCCGTCGACGAGGACAAGCTGCAGCGCTTCAGCGCCGAGCTGAGTGAGTTCGAGCGGCAGCACGACAAGCCGGATTCGCCGGCCGGCCGCAGCGACATGCAGGACAAGCAGGACGAGCGCGGCTTCCTCGACATCGTCATTGGCTCTGTGCGGTCGCTGTTCGCCAGCGCCTGGAGTCGACTCACGGGCGACAGCGACGCGCTGGAGTCGGCCACGCCGCCCACCACGCGCACACTAGCTGAAAGCGCGCTGGAGGCGCCGCTGTCGCGGGTGCGCCGCTCACCGCAGTGGTCCTACTTGCCGCCGAGCAGGGATTTCGGTACGGAGGTGTCCAAGCCGCCAGCGCAGACGGACGTGTTCCAGCTGCCGCCGCCGCCGCCGCCGAAGCAGGACGCAGACGAGCTGGACCCAACACGCCTGCGCCCTCCGCGGCCGGGACCAGGGGACAGCGGCGTCGGCGAGTCACCCGCTCCAAAAACGGGGCTCGGTGAAGTCACTGGGGACGGGGAGCAGACAGGCACACGGGTGCAGACGGGTGAGTCCGGCACTGGAAAGGAGCAAGAACCACCGGAAGGGGCAGCACCAGGATCGCGGGTGCCAATACAGACTACACCCGGCAAGCCAACCAAACCCGAGTATCCGGGGGCTCCCGGCCCATCCAGGCCGGGACCTCAGGTCAGCCAAGCACCCAGCGGTGCTGGAACCCCTGGCCGGCCAGGCAAACCCGGCACAACCGGACAACAGGAAACGCCGGGCACGCCCGGACAACCAGGCACCTTGGGATCTGGAGGTTCGGTCGGTACTCCGGGACGGCCTGGTGCACCTGGACGACCAGGAACTCCAGGAACTCAAGGCAGACCCACCACTGGAAGTGGTCCTGCCACGAAAGGTCCGTCTGGAGCTCCACGCAGACCTGGCACAGAAGTAGGACCTGGAACAGGAGGTAGGCCAGGAACACCGGGAGAGCCCGGAACAGGAGGCACACCAGGAACCCAAGGCACGCCTGGCATAGGAGGAAGGCCTGGAACAGGAGGTATTGGCATTCAAGGTACGCCTCAGACAGGAGGTAGGCCTGGAACAGAAGGCACACCGGGAGTTCCAGGCAAGCCAGGAACACAAGAAAGGCCTGGAACAGCAAGAAGACCTGGGACAGGGGGTACAGGAGGAACTCAAGGCAGGCCTGGAACAGGTGGGAGACCAGGTGAAGGTGGACTTGGGCCCGACAGTGGTTTCCCCGAGGGTTCCCGAGGACCCGGTGGCAGTTCGCCAGCATATCCCACCGGCTTCCCAGGACCACAGGGACGACCGGGCTCAAGACGACCAGGAACACCAGGCGAACCAGGAATACCAGGCAAACCAGGAACGGGGGGCACACCTGGAGCAGGTGGCATTGGCACTCAAGGTAGGCCTGGAACAGCAGGCACACCGGGAGTTCCAGGCAAGCCAGGAACACAAGGAAGGCCCGGAACAGGAGGAAGGCCTGGAATTGGGGGTACAGGAGGAACTCAAGGCAGGCCTGGAACAGGTGGAAGACTAGGTGAAGGTGGACTTGGTCCCGACAGTGGTTTCCCCGAAGGTTCCCGGGGACCCGATGGCAGTTCGCCAGTCTACCCTACCGGCTCACCAGGACCGCAGGGACGACCAGGCTCAAGAAGACCAGGAACACCAGGCGAACCAGGAATACCAGGCAAACCAGGAACGGGAGGCACGCCTGGAGTAGGAGGCGTTGGCAGTCAAGGTAGGCCTGGGACAGGAGGCATACCGGGAGTTCCAGGCAAGCCAGGAACACAAGGGAGGCCCGGAACAGGAGGGAGGCCTGGAACTGGGGGTACAGGGGGAACTCAAGGCAGGCCTGGAACAGGTGGAAACCTGGTGGCGGTGGACTTGGTCCCGACAGTGGTTTCCCCGAAGGTTCCCGAGGACCCGATGGCAGTTCGCCAGTTTATCCTACCGGCTCACCAGGACCGCAGGGACGACCAGACTCAAGAAGACCAGGAACACCAGGCGAACCAGGAATACCAGGCAAACCAGGAACGGGAGGCACACCTGGAGTAGGAGGCGTTGGCAGTCAAGGTAGGCCTGGGACAGGAGGCACACCGGGAGTTCCAGGCAAGCCAGGAACACAAGGGAGGCCCGGAACAGGAGGGAGGCCTGGAACTGGGGGTACAGGGGGAACTCAAGGCAGGCCTGGAACAGGTGGAAGACCTGGTGGCGGTGGACTTGGTCCCGACAGTGGTTTCCCCGAAGGTTCCCGAGGACCCGATGGCAGTTCGCCAGTTTATCCTACCGGCTCACCAGGACCGCAGGGACGACCAGGCCCAAGAAGACCAGGAACACCAGGCAAACCGGGAATACCAGGCAAACCAGGAACGGGAGGCACGCCTGGAGTAGGAGGCGTTGGCAGTCAAGGTAGGCCTGGCACAGGAGGCACACCGGGAGTTCCAGGCAAGCCAGGAACACAAGGAGGGCCCGGAACAGGAGGGAGGCCTGGAACTGGGGGTACAGGGGGAACTCAAGGCAGGCCTGGAACAGGTGGAAGACCTGGTGGCGGTGGACTTGGTCCCGACAGTGGTTTCCCCGAAGGTTCCCGAGGACCCGGTGGCAGTTCGCCAGTTTATCCTACCGGCTCACCAGGACCGCAGGGACGACCAGGCCCAAGAAGACCAGAAACACCAGGCGAACCAGGAATGCCAGGCAAACCAGGAACGGGAGGCACGCCTGGAGTAGGAGGCGTTGGCAGTCAAGTAGGCCTGGGACAGGAGGCACACCGGGAGTTCCAGGCAAGCCAGGAACACAAGGGAGGCCCGGAACAGGAGGGAGGCCTGGAACTGGGGGTACAGGGGGAACTCAAGGCAGGCCTGGAACAGGTGGAAGACCTGGTGGCGGTGGACTTGGTCCCGACAGTGGTTTCCCCGAAGGTTCCCGAGGACCCGATGGCAGTTCGCCAGTTTATCCTACCGGCTCCCCAGGACCGCAGGGACGACCGGGCTCAAGAAGACCAGGAACACCAGGCGAACCGGGAATACCAGGCAAACCAGGAACGGGAGGCACACCTGGAGTGGGAGGCATTGGCAGTCAAGGTAGGCCTGGGACAGGAGGCATACCGGGAGTTCCAGGCAAGCCAGGAACACAAGGGAGGCCCGGAACAGGAGGGAGGCCTGGAGCTGGGGGTACGGGGGGAACTCAAGGCAGGCCTGGAACAGGTGGAAACCTGGTGGCGGTGGACTTGGTCCCGACAGTGGTTTCCCCGAAGGTTCCCGAGGACCCGATGGCAGTTCGCCAGTTTATCCTACCGGCTCCCAGGACCGCAGGGACGACCAGGCTCAAGACGACCGGGAACCAGGCAAACCAGGAATACCAGGCAAACCAGGAACGGGAGGCACGCCTGGAGTAGGAGGCGTTGGCAGTCAAGGTAGGCCTGAGACAGGAGGCACACCGGGAGTTCCAGGCAACCGGGAACACAAGGAGGGCCCGGAACAGGAGGAGGCCTGGAACGGGGGTACGGGAGGAACTCAAGGCAGGCCTGGAACAGGTGGAAGACCAGGTGGCGGTGGACTTGGTCCCGACAGTGGTTTCCCCGAAGGTTCCCGAGGACCCGGTGGCAGTTCGCCAGCATATCCCCGGCTTCCCAGGACCGCAGGGACGACCAGGCTCAAGGAGACCAGGAACACCAGGCAAACCGGGAATACCAGGCAAACCAGGAACGGAGGCACACCTGGAGTGGGAGGCATTGGCACTCAAGGTAGGCCTGGCACAGGAGGCACACCGGGAGTTCCAGGCAAGCCAGGAACACAAGGAGGGCCCGGAACAGGAGGAAGGCCTGGAACGGGTGGTACAGGAGGAACTCAAGGCAGGCCTGGAACAGGTGGAAGACCAGGTGGCGGTGGACTTGGTCCCGACAGTGGTTTCCCCGAAGGTTCCCGAGGACCCGATGGCAGTTCGCCAGTCTATCCTACCGGCCCCCCAGGACCGCAGAGACGACCAGACTCAAGACGACCGGGAAAGCCAGGCAAACCAGGAATACCAGGCAAACCAGGAACAGGAGGCACACCTGGAGTGGGAGGCATTGGCACTCAAGGTAGGCCTGGCACAGGAGGCACACCGGGAGTTCCAGGCAAACCGGGAACACAAGGGAGGCCCGGAACAGAAGGAAGGCCTGGAACGGGGGGTACGGGAGGAACTCAAGGCAGGCCTGGAACGGGTGGAAGACCAGGTGGCGGTGGACTTGGTCCCGACAGTGGTTTCCCCGAGGGTTCCCGAGGACCCAGCGGCAGTTCGCCAGTCTATCCTACCGGTTCCCAGGACCGCAGGGACGACCAGGCTCAAGAAGACCCAGGAACCACAAGGCAAGCCAGGGAAATACCAGGCCAAACCAGGAACGGGAGGCGCGCCCTGGAGTAGGAGGCGTTGGGCACTCAAGAGTGGCCTGGAACCAGGAGGCACACCGGGAGTCCCGACCAGCCAGGAACACAAGGAGGGCCCGGAACAGGATGGAAGGCCCTGGAACAGGGAGGGACAAAGGAGGGACTCAAGGCAGGCCGGAACAGGAGAAGGCCAGGAACAGGGAAGTAACAGGAGGACTCAAGGCAGGCTGGAACAGGTGGAAGGCCTTGGTGGCGGTGGACTTGGTCCACGACAGTGGTTTCCCCGAAGGTTCCCGAGGACCCCGATGGCAGTAGTTCGCCAGTCTATCCTACCGGCTCCCCAGGACCACAGAGACGACCAGACTCCAAAAGACCAGGAAAGCAGGCAAGCCCGGGAATATCCAGGCAAACCAGGAAGGGGGGCACGACCCGGAGTAGGAGGCGTTGGCAACTCAGGGAGGCCTGGAATCAGGAGGCACTACCGGGTGCCCAGGCAAGCCAGGACACAAGGAAGGCCCGGAACAGGAGGAAGGCCTGGAACAGGGGGTACAGGGGGAACTCAAGGCAGGCCGGAACAGGTGGAAGACTAGGTGAAGGTGGACTTGGTCCCGACAGTGGTTTCCCCGAGGGAAGCCGCGGCCCTAGTGGAGGTTCTGGACGCCAGGAACCGTTGATGGAGTTGGAGGTCCTGGACGGCCAGGAGCCGGTGGTGGAGTTGGAGGTTCTGGAAGACCAGGAGCCGGCGATGATTTGGAGGTTCTGGAAGACCAGGAGCCGGTGGTGGAGTTGGAGGTTTTGGAAGACCAGGAGCCGGTGGTGGAGTTGGAGGTTCTGGAAGACCAGGAGCCGGCGATGGATTTGGAGGTTCTGGAAGACCAGGAGCCGGTGGTGGAGTTGGAGGTTCTGGAAGACCAGGAGCCGGCGATGGATTTGGAGGTTCTGGAAGACCAGGAGCCGGTGGTGGAGTTGGAGGTTCTGGAAGACCAGGAGCCGGTGGTGGAGTTGGAGGTTTTGGAAGACCAGGAGCCGGTGGTGGAGTTGGAGGTTCTGGAAGACCAGGAGCCGGCGGGGTTTGGAGGTTCCGGAAGGCCAGGAGCCGGCGATGGAGTTGGAGGTTCTGGAAGGACCAGGAGCCGGTGGTGGAGTTGGAGGTTCTGGAAGACCAGGAGCCGGCGATGGATTGGAGGTTCTGGAAGACCAGGAGCCGGCGATGGATTTGGAGGTTCTGGAAGACCAGGAGCCGGTGGTGGAGTTGGAGGTTCTGGAAGACCAGGAGCCGGTGGTGGAGTTGGAGGTTTTGGAAGACCAGGAGCCGGTGGTGGAGTTGGAGGTTCTGGAAGACCAGGAGCCGGCGGGGTTGGAGGTTCCGGAAGGCCAGGAGCCGGCGATGGAGTTGGAGGTCTGGAAGACCAGGAGCCGGTGGTGGAGTTGGAGGTTCTGGAAGACCAGGAGCCGGCGATGGATTTGGAGGTTCTGGAAGACCAGGAGCCGGTGGTGGAGTTGGAGGTTCTGGAAGACCAGGAGCCGGTGGTGGAGTTGGAGGTTCTGGAAGACCAGGAGCCGGTGGTGGAGTTGGAGGTTTTGGAAGACCAGGAGCCGGTGGTGGAGTTGGGAGGTTCTGGAAGACCAGGAGCCGGCGGGGTTGGAGGTTCCGGAAGGCCAGGAGCCGGCGATGGAGTTGGAGGTTCTGGAGACCAGGAGCCGGGGTGGAGTTGGAGGTTCTGGACGGCCAGGAGCCGGCGATGGATTTGGAGGTTCTGGAAGACCAGGAGCCGGTGGTGGAGTTGGAGGTTCTGGAAGACCAGTGAGCCGGTGGTGGAGTTGGAGGTTCTGGAAGACCAGGAGCCGGTGATGGGGTTGGAGGCTCCGGAAGGCCAGGAGCCGGTGGTGGAGTTGGAGGTTCTGGAAGACCAGGACCCGATGGTGGAGTGGGAGGCTCTGGAAGGCCAGGAGCCGGCGATGGTGGCGCTGGACGCCCCGGCTCGGGACGGCCTGGCGCCGGCGGGGGTGCCCCTGGTGGTGCAGGTGTGGCCGGCGGAGCAGGACGGCCGGGCCAGGGTAACCCGCACGGGGGCAGACTATCAAGGCCGACCTGTCGGCGGGTGCTCTGTAGACCCACCGGCGGCGAAGGCGACAGGTTCAATGTTTTGGGATCCGCGGGCAACCCCAAGGGTTGGGTTCACGAGGCCGTCCTTCGCACGACCGGATGGCGGGAACGGTCGCCGGCAGCGGCCAGGATGTGGCGAGGCCCCGGCTCTGATAGAGGAAGAGCCATCAAGACGGCCCAAACCTGGCGAAGAACAGGAGAGAGAGCAGCCTACATCTGACAGAGGACAAGCAGGAGGAAGACCCACCCCTGCCGGAGGACAGGTCGGCGCGCCAGGAGCGGGAGGAAGACCCACCCCTGCCAGAGGTCAGGCCGGCGCACAAGGAGCGGGAGGAAGACCCACCCCTGCCAGAGATCAGGCCGGCGCACAAGGAGTGGGAGGAAGACCCACCCCTGCCAGAGGTCAGGTCGGCACACCAGGGACGGGAGCCGTCCAGAGCGAGGACCGTCCGACCGGAGGTCTTATTGACAGGTCCAAGACACCAACGCAAACCCACGGAAAGCTGCTGAAGTTCCTTCGCGCGCACTTGTTCGGCCCAGGAGGCATAAGCGGAAGGAGAACGAGATCGGTCCAGAGATCTGCG